AGATATATCATTGCTGATGTCAGATGGATCCTGGCTGAAAGCAGAGAATACCAGAAAGATGTTTACCTGTGTTTTATTGACTATGCAAAGACATTCAACTGTGTGGATCATAACAAATTATGGATAACATTGCAAAGAATGAGAATTCCAGAACAGTTAATTGTACTCTTTAGGAACCTGTACATAGAACAAGAGGCAGTTGTATGACCAGAACAAGGGAATACTGCATGGTTTAAAAGTCAGGAAAGGTGTGTGTCAGGGTTGTATCCTTTCACCAAACCTGTTCAATCTGTATGCTGAGCACATAATCCGAGAAGCTTGACTATATGAAGAAGAACGGGCCATCAGAGTTGGAGGAAGATTCATTAACAACCTGCGTTATGCAGATGACATGACTTTGCTTGCTGAAAGTGAAGAGAACTTGAAGCACTTACTGATGAAGATCAAAGACCACAGCCTTCAGTATGGATTACAGCTCAACGTAAAGAAAACAAAAATTCTCACAATTTAAAGAGTTGAAAAGTAGAGATGTCACCTTGAAGACTAAGGTGTGTCTGACCCATCCATGGTATTTTCAGTCACATCATATGCATGTGAAAGCTGCACAATGAATAAGGAAGACAGAAGATTTGATGCCTTTGAATTGTGGTGTTGGCAAAGAATATTGAATATACCATGGAATGCCAAAAGAATGAACAAATCTGTCTTGAAGAAGTACAACCAGAAAGCTCCTTAGAAGCGAGGATGGCAAGACTGCGTCTTACATACTTTGGACATGTTGTCAGGGGGGATCAGTCCCTGAAGAAGGACATCATGCTTGGTAAAGTACACGGTCAGCTAAAAAGAAGACGACCCTCAATGAGATGGATTGACACAGTGGCTGCAACAGTGGGCTCAAGCATAACAATGATTGTGAGCATGGTTCAGGACTGGGCAGTGTTTCATTCTGTAGTACACAGGGTCGTTATGAGTTGGAAGCAGCTCAGTGGTACCTAACAACAACAACGACAACATTGTTTAGTTTTAAGAAGACTTCAGGGGATATTTTAGTTTAAGACCAAAAGATTATCAATTCGTTTACTATCACTTTGGTGGGATTGCAGGAAGGAATAGGGATCACTAGAACCATCTTCACTAGATTTTCAAAAGGATCTGTGATCCCACTCAAAGTTAATAACATTTCCACTCCATTTTTCGGGAGATTTCAGAATCCCCCTCCGCGCTCTTTTTCACACGGGAGAGTTTCGTAGAAGTATGATTTAGGGATAGTCTTAAAGTTGTAGAACTGGATTAGATACTTTTTCAAGAAACCTTCTAATCTTTGCATTATATTTTTATATTTTCCATGCTTCTTGAAAAAATGATGAAATTTAGTTCTGTAATCACAAGATGTATAATGTCAGTATGGCACTGCCACCCCAAATCGTGTAGAGAAAATTTTTTTTTATTTTTATTGTACTTCAGGTGAAGGCTTACAGAACAAATAGTTTCTCATGAAACAGAAGTACACATGTTGTTTTATAACATTGGTTAACAACCCCACAACATATCAACCCTCTAA